TAGCACTTAGTAGGTACACAGGACCTACCATGGCTGATCAGGCTCTGGGGGTTTTTGGGTTTGTTCAGAGATCAAAAATCCCTTTCCTCAAAGCATTTACCATCTGTCTAGACAGTCATAACAAGTTCATTCATCAACAAGAATGCCAAACACAGGGTCTCAACTTCCAAAAAGCGAAAGGGGGGAAAAAGCCTTTAATATTGTCTAGCCCAAGTGCCTCATTTTGCAGATAAGGAAACTGAGTCTCAGCTCCAGGAACTAATTAGTGAGAGAGGCAAGATTAGAGACCATGATTCAAAGTCTAATGAGAGTAAGATAACAAGCTCTGTAAGGAGAGAAAGCTGGCCTGGAGCAAGGGTGGGGAGAGGCCTGGCAGTTGGTGGGAGTTTGTTAGGGGAGCGGTGGGGGCAGGTGTTCAGAAAGGGGCAGGGACAAGGGGCACAGAGGTGAGGACGTGGTGAGGGGTGGGGGCCAGCCAGCTGAAATGCGGGCCTGCTACTTGGGAACTGGAGGAGGGCAGTCTGGACACCCCCCGAGGGGTGAGACGGTGGAAGCCCACCCACCTCGCAGGACAGGGTTAACACTGTGCAAAGCGAGGAAGAAGTGACTCTAAAGCTCTGCCCGTGGATCCCTTCACCTGTAATGCTGGGACAGGTGACAGCACCAAGCACATCTCATAACCCTTGTGAGAGCTAAGTGACCGAGCACAAGCGTGGCTGGTGGTTACACACGCACACACTGCTCGGTGTAACAGGGATCCTCAAACTTTTTAAACAGGGGGCCAGTTCACTGTCCCTTAGACCGCTGGAGGGCCGGACTATAGTTTAAAAAAAAACTATGAACAAATTCCTATGCACACTGCACACATCTTATTTTGAAGTAAAAAACCAAACAGGCAAAAACACCTGCATGTGACTGTGTTTAAAGCCACGGGCTGTAGTGTGAGGACGCCTGGTGTAGGATATGTCAACAGAAGCAAAAAGAGGCCATGTCCCCACAAGGAGCTCCCACTCTACCTGCAGAAGGCCAAAACGAAGCAGGAAGACAAATAAGAAAATTTGCTGGCAAGACACGCTAACGCAGAAGACAAAACGTGGTTGAGAATAACCCTAGAATCCGCCCAAGCCCCCAGCAGTGAGCAGCGGACCCTCCACCAAGGGGCCTGGGAATCCACACTTTCTCCTCCAGCAAAGGATAAAGCCTTGGGAGCTATAGAAGCTTCAGAGTAATGCAGTGACAAGGCACCAACGCAGGACAGCCACATGAACTATTTCCTGTGATGACTCTCTTTGAGCTTGAGCTCCCTCCACTCCCAAGAGAGCCTCTGGCTTCTGCCATCGTCCACGTACCGGCAACTGGCCACTCCTGATGACCCTTCTACAGACACTAGGTGTCCTCTTGTCACCTGTGAGCACCTTCCCCAAGCATTTTCACCAGGGCTGCTCCAAAGCAGCAAAAAATGGCTGTTTCACTTCCCCTGCTCTTCTTATAGTGACACTGATGAAATTGCAGGAACCGAACGAACACCTGGGGAAGGAACCATCTGCTTCGTCCCACGAGGTGGGTAGGAGCAGTGCTGTTCACCGGCAAGGTCATGAGGATGGGACACACACAACCTTCCCAGGGGCCTTTAGGGCAGAAGGCCCTGGTGGCTGGAGGGAGGGGGGTGTCATTAACCCTTGCCGGGAATCACTCTGTTTCACAAGAGAGTGGTTCTCTGGTTGGAAGACAAAGCTGCACATATCATAAACCACAGGGCGAGGCTTATCTGCACAGCGTTTTCCACATAAAGATGATAAAGCGTCACGCAAGAAGTCACTATAAATGTTTTTGAACTTTCCGCTCTGCAGAGGAAATACCTAAAAAAGGACTACCCAAGTTCAACAGCAAAGGTGGCTGTGGAACTAGCTATGGCCTGGAAAGACTGTGGAGCTCAGTGCCAAGGCCCTTCAAAAGGTTAACCTCTTCAATAGCGATGTTTCAAAGTCTATAAATAACGACAGGCAAGCGTGGAGAGCATGCTTTGGTTCTCTGTGCAGTGACACAAGTCACAGGATTTGCATGTAAAATGACTACTTTGCCCGCCTCCATATTTTAAAACAAAAGCAATAAGAAAAGGCCCAGGAAATCCAATCCCCAGGGAAAGACACGGACGGACGTCCCCAAAGGAAACTGCAGGGACGTCTGGCCACGTGCCCTGCTCCTGTGTGTGGCGAATACAGCCGAGCAGTAAGAACTCATTCACTGGGGACGCCCGTCAAAGGAGGACCACGTGGGGGTGAGGAGGACACAGCCAGGGCCGGACAACGACCTTGATAAAATTCTCAGCAAAAAGTTTTGGAGCAGAGTTTTAAAGCAATTACAGAGAGCTGAGTCTCTCTGCAATCCTGCAGTCAGTCACTTTCCTGCGATCACCGAGGAATGAGTCACCAAGGCCGGCCCTGACGCCTTCCAGCTGCGAGGTGGCCTGGCTATGGCTGTTCTTACACAACATAAGGTAGCAATTTAGAATCAGCGCCATCAGTAAAAACGCTGATACCTGCCTTTCTTACAGCCAATTAAGGAATACATCTGTTGCCCAGGGGTTGAAAAGGAACATTCTGATCAAACTAGAAAAATAAAAATAAAGCAAGAATGGATGAGGCATGAGCAAACTAACAGTGGCATTAATTCTACCTGTAAAATGAACTCGCTCTAACATTCAGTCAGTAAACATTTAATTAGCACCTACTACATATATGCCGGCACTGTGCTAGACACTAGGGATACAGAGATAACAGGCAGGACCCCTGCCCTGAGACGCCGGCAATGCAGTGCAAATGCCCGTTGATACTATTAATTACGTGTATTAAGCTCTTAGCATGTGCCAAGAATTGTTCCAAACACTTTATTTGTATCAACTCTTTTTTATTCTTATATAGTATAAGGTAGGGTGGATTATTAGCCTCATTTTATAGAGGAGAAAACAGATACAGAGAGATTAAATCATTTGTCCAAGCTCAACAATCATCAGTAGGAGAAGCTGAATTTGAACCCAGGCAGGACAGCTCCACCCTGGTAGGTATAGAGTAAAGAGGTCTGCAAGAAGGAAGAAAAAAAAACCCAGCCACCACTGCCTGAGGAAGTAGGCATCTCGGTAAAACTGAGAGGGCTTTGGAGGATGCGTAGGAGTTTACTGGAAAGAATTAAGAAAGGTTCCTTCCAGACAAAAGGGTTACAAATGCAAAGCATGGGCACCAGAAATTACTAAGAAAAATAATTTTAAAAGATGAAAACACACTTGTATTACTACTTCTTAGGCAGGAAGTTCTTCCATAGTTCCTGGTTAAATAGTAGCTAGGAATGGAGTTGTGATATTGTCTGGTGTCAGGAAACTGAAATACTGCAGTTGAATGCAACACAATGATCCCCGGAGTTATTAACACATGCTCCAGCTCCTCAGTCCACGCGGTTATGGGATCACCATTTAACAGAATGTGTTGCTAGAGACTTGGGCTCAGAAGTCCTTAACAGCACCAAATAGGAACCGCTGAAACTAAATACCTTGCTGAACCAGTCTGGTGACAAAGAGAAAAAACTGGGGAGGGGAAGGGGGGGCCACATGTTCCTGAAGGCCTGATTCCAACAGGATGTCAGGTGCTCTCCTCAACATATCCTACAATCTTAGATTAGCAATGGCTTTGTTCAGCAAAATACGAAGATGTTCCCAAGTCCTTGAAAGATATGAACCCCACAACAAGAAAACGGGAAAGACTAAAAGGTTGTTTGCAAGGTGCGATAAATCGGTGGTTTTAAACATAGCTATTTTGAGTTTATCTTTCCGAGACACTTAATGTTAATTCTCACTCTCTGAACGCTATTCCTCGAAATAAATATAATTTACTGAATCATATCCCATAAATAATTAAATGAAGGGTCCCCGACGCTAATGCCCACTATTAAATTTCAGTCATTCTAGCCAGCAGATAGACAGACAGATAGCCTCCACTTTAAAAACAGGTGTGTGTTCCCAAAGTTCGGTTTGTGAGTTGGCCGCTTGGGATTCAAGAGTTGTCTTCTTCCCCCACAAACAACATTAGATGCGATGTCTGGTCACAATATTAGATGTGATGTCCCAAAAAACTAGATCCGCGGTGTGCTAAGCGTTCTCTGGACCTGACGCAACGTGAAGGGAAACGCACTCGGAGCTCTAGCAAGCCCCACATGCACCGCTTCCTCTCTTGCTTGGGAACAAGACATGCTCCAGCTGCACCTAACAGGTGGTGGCTCCTCAGCCTCCAGCAGGGGCTATTTGAGGAGGGAGCTGTGGAGAGGCGGGGGCAGGGGGGCTCCAACTGGAGAGAGGGGCCAGGGCTCTGGCGCCTCCTCCGCCTGGCTCCCGGCCACCACGCCGTCCCTTCCTGGCCCCTGGCACAGCAGCCTCTTCGTGTCTAGGGCTGCCACACCATGGGTTTGGGTCCAGGCTTGTCTACACCCCCACACCCCACCCTCTCAGGCCCCAATCACAGTCTCTTCTGATTTCCAGCCGTGAAAACACACATGTGGCTCTTTGATGATTTTCTCAGGACTTTTCTTACTGGCAACCTGGACGTAAGTGGGACACACACACACCAGTGTGAGAGAGGACTCGCCTGTGATAAGCAGATTAAACTGGGATCCACCCACAAAACCACTCTCCCCTCCAATTAAAAGTCTGTATGTTACATACGTAACATATACATATGCACGTACGTTATATATGTAGTTGCACATATGAAGGTCATGGTAAAATTCAAGTGGCCAGGCCACTGACCGCGCTCGATGGGCAGTTCACACGCTAATCTAAAAAGCAGAGAGCTCAGAACCCGAATGGGCCCGGGGGGCTGCTGGGCGTGGGGAGGGAGGTGCCGACACGCAGGCCCTCCAGCTGTGTCTTGTCGCTGAGCTCAGGAATGAGACGACTCCCCCCCATGCCAAAGGCGGCCCGCACACTTGGGCTCACAGGTACACCCCCAACTTACTGGAACTTCAAACGCCTCCTGGGTGTCATCCAGCATCTGGATTTTGATGGACATGAGTTTCCCTGAAGGGGTCGGGGGCGGCTTCTGTCCACGCTCCAAGGTACTGATCCCCGAATTCTCTGGGGCCCCCAGGCGGGACCCTGGGGTCGGCCTCTGCTCTATTTCTCCCATGATGAAAGTCGCGTACAGAGTATCTGCAGGAAGCAGTGAGAAAGAGAAACACGTCAGAAGAGGAGTTTCGTATAAACCACTTAGGCGGTTCACCATCTTCCCCCCTTGATTCGGGAGTTCCCCTAAGCCACGGCAGGGCAGGGGAGCGCTCTGTCCCCTGCACAGCAATCACGCATGGCGAGGCTTCGGTTCACTCACTTACAATGTCACCTTTAGGCACTCAAGGCATAGAAATATTTTTACATATTTTGTTGCTTTTGCATATTTTGTTGCTTTTCCATATTTTTGCATACTGTTGCGTACTTTATTCTTTTCTGGTTTTACAGTCAGCTCTTAATTATTCAGCGTCTACAATGAGCTATGCTGCCCCTTTCACACACTAGTCTGGTGGGAAGATGATAAACAGTGCCTCAGCCATGTCATTAGCATCCATTAATTACCTTTTATGGACATGGTAACATACGAGTAACGTGGGTATTATAAAGATAAACAGGCAAAGCACACACCGCGGTGCCCGAGCTTATAATCTGGGTGAGGACACAAACACACATTCACTACAAAAACAGGCAGCACAAGGCAGGCTCTTTTTTCTCAATTTCTACTGCTTGGTTCTATTACGATAACCTCCTAAAATTCATTTCTTTCCTGCCACCCACCCTTCCAACTGTTCCCGCTTTCCCAAAAAGCCACTCTACATCCTGCATTTAGTGTAGACAAAGTTATTTTCCTAAAAACACAAAACGTTCCTCTTTTCCTCCCCAAATAGTCCACACCTCTCCCTCCCCTAGCCCTGCCTCTGTCTGGCTCCAGGTCGTCAGAGGGCTGAATGCTGTGCCCACTTTCTCCACCTAGAAACTTCCATTGCTTTAAAACTCAGTTCGAATGTCATGTTCCGACAGCTGGGGCAGAGTACATGTGCCGACGTCCCATCTGTGCTCAGGAATGTGTCAGAGCCCACGTGTGTTTCCTGCCTACCTGCCCCAAAGGCAGCACGATCACCCAAGAGCAGAAACCAAACTTGAATGATCTTTGCGTCTCAACCCCTCCCTAGGCACGGTGCCCGGCATGGAGTGGCGTTCAATGCTGGCTGCTAACGACTGGACCACTTGGCTGGTACATTTACACATGGCTGCATGTTAAGTGTCCGAAGAGCACAAAGGAATGAGATTTCCACATGAGATGAAGTGGTTAAAGCAGGAGGCGGCTTCCACCCTGGAGGAGGTGGGAACAGAACTCCATTCGGTCTCAAACATTCGATGACTTTGGAAGGAGACGGGAGACACACGAGGAAAAGGCATACCAGGGAATCGGAACAGCATCGCCGGTGTTACGGGACAGAAATAAGAGAGCATGTGGGAAGGAGAGGGAGAATTAGTGCCGAAGAGTTAAAGACATATTTGGAAACAGTCTGAAATCAGATAATAGAGGACTTCAAATGCCTGGCTAAGAAACATGGTCTTTACCCTCCAGGCGGCAGGGAGCCACTGGGATTAGAATAAAGGCACAACAAAAAAATTACAGAAAGATGAACCTGAAGATGGTATAAATTATGGAAAAAAAGAGATGGGAGGGCGGTGGCTGGGGTGTCCAGTTACAAAGCGACCACAACAATGCACACTTGAGGTGACAACTTGCATAGCTGCAATGGAAGCTATCCAATCAAAAGGCGGTGCTGTGACACCCAACTTGCTGGAAAAATCAACTCAGTGCTGTTGTATGGTTAGCAAGAGAGGGGACAGAAGGCCAACAATGATCAGAAAGTTTTGAATTGGGGCAGAAGGGAAGAGGCAGGAGGGGACGGTGTGAGAGTTGGCTTTGGGACACTGTTTGGGGTTATAAAGGGACATCCCACAGGCTGTCAGGGAGGGGGGGGCTGGATCTGGGCTATGGCTCAGGGTCCAGCTCACCGCACCAGCGAAAGCCGAGAGGATGAATGTGCAACCAATAGAGCGAAAAGAACCGCCATGCCCAGTCACGAGGGTCACTGGAGAAAGAGGATGGGAAAGTGGAACAGGAAGACAGACCCGGGGGAAGGGGGGGCACTCACTGACAAAGATGCCACAGAAAGGGGCCACGGAAAGGTGCCACGGAGCCACCTGTGGTGCAAGTGGCGGAGCTGAGTGCTGCATCTCACTCACCTCTGAAAACAAGTCACCTTCCAGCTCTTCCCTTCAGGAAAACCCATCAGGTTGTAAATCTCATTTTGTAGGGTTTTCTTGCCCAACTCGTTCTCTTCCTTCTCCTGAAGAGTCAGGTCCCCACAAGTTTCCCAACAAATTCCTCACTCTCCTCTCAGTGAAACCTCAAAGGTTCTCACCATAGACACGAGGGCTGGCCCTGAAGTTTGCAGATCAGAAACTATGGGGTCACATCAATGACCTGGCTCGGTGACTCAATCACCAGAACCTAAAAAGACATGTCCTTCAATCACACAGGGAAAGGTCCGGATCACTGTCCAGGACATGCCTGACTACTTATTTCTCCCACTCTCACCTTCCCTGAGGACTTTCCACCCCAGCCTTTTAAACATCATCTTTTATTCCTTCCATAATCCTTTATGACTGGGCTTCTATGACAAGGCAATCCTGGTTTCAGACCAGCCTTTCTGAGAACTGCTCCTCCTTTTTTGAATGCCCGATTTCACAGATCTGTTACACAAATGCCCTTCTCATTTCTGCCCCAAATAAGCTTTCTCACCAGAGTAGAAAAGAGATCATCAATACTGGTTCAATGCATCCAATGTGGGTGGTGACATATTCATTATGCAGTCAGTTGTGTTCAAAATAATCTTCATAAGGCAGGCAAAATTACTTCCATATACATTTTCTATTTATTGTCCCATGGTTAAAAATAAATGCAACCCCCAGAGAAAACTATGCCATCAGTCAAGTTCGCCCCGTTCCCAGACTCCTCTGTGCACCTCTCCCTACTTTGGTGCAAACCCTCCCTGCCCTCACTCAGGATGGACAGGCCGTGCGCTTGGTCATTCTGGTCATTCGTGCTGGGCTTTGGCTCAGCCTCCTACCTCTGAGTCAAGGAGGAGTGGCCTGGGTGTGGCTCCCTGTGCCCACCCAGGGAGCTCATGGCAGGAAGCAAGGGGCCTATTCCCCATGTCACCCTAGCTCAAAGGTGCCAGGTCCCTCCCCACAAATACATTTTCTCCTTGTCCTACCTAAGCAAAGAGAGCAAGACCCCGAATCCCCCTTTCTTTCCCTCTTGCCAAAGATCCTCAAGTAAATATATATTCTAATCTTTAGTGCCTTGTCCTTTAAAAATCTCATTGAGTTAGCAATTAACAGGTATTTCCCACCTTCACTTCCTTCTTCTTTAGTCCTGCAATGACCTCATGCCTGTATTATTTCTACTTCTGGATACTGACGTTTTAGAACAAAGTATGCCACGCTTTCTTTTTGTTATCATACTTGCATGCAGACTACTGCTGTACATGGAAAGGTCTGTTTAATTCAAGCATAAATCCAGCCGAGAGTTTTGAGTTGAGCATCCTAAGAACGCCAAGGGAGCATCTCAGGAACGCTGGCAAGTCATAAATGGGTACCCACAATGTTTAGTACCTACACTGGTAAGCCCAGCGACACGATGCCATCTTCTAGGTAAACAAGTCTAACAAACCTAACAGTATAAATATTAATTCAATGAATAAATACTAATCCACACTCTATTCTGACTTTACCCTCCAGTAACTTCCTCGGACCTCTGAATTCCTTGAGGAGTAGTCAAAGGAAAGGAGACTAATAGTTCTTTCTTTGTGATGCATTACTGGTAGGTGATCATTCCTGACCTCAAAGTAAAAACTGTTTGCAAAACTACTTTATTCTTTTAGCTCTATTTGAAAAGTTGCTTTTAAAAAGTGCCAAGGCTTTTAAGCAGAGAAAAGATTAAAAAAAAAACTGGAGTTGTCTTGTCATAAGATCCTGACTTCAAGACTTCCTCTTGGAATTCACCCAAAAACAATAAGTAGTAGGCAAAAAAAAAAAAATGCAAATTCCATCCCTGAGGAAACTAGAAGACATCTGTAACCCCAAACCACAAAATGTGAGAGAGAGTTGCCAAACTCCAGTGAAGGTCAGACGGAAGAGAAGAAAAATGCTTGCAGAGGCTGTGCATGCTGCAGATCTCAGTTGAAAACGGCAGAGCCAGATTCCCCCAAATAAATAACAAACCAGCAATAACTTTCTTGGAACAAGGACAGACATGCAGCTGAGCACGAATCTTTCCTTGGGCACAGTGCGATGTGAATGAGAAACCACACAGGCAGCCATATTTGTAGGAAGCCGTCTATTGCTGAGGCGAGGTGACAGGGACAGAGACCACATTAGGAACGTCACCAAGGTTCACTACCAAAGTCTAAGCAAGCAAGAGAAAAGCAAAGGTTGAAAGGATCACTCACATACACACACAGACAGACACACACACACACACACACCCCACCTCAAGTCGTAAGGATTCCCACCAGCATGGGGCATGACTCTGCCTGCTGGCCCACCTGAGGCTCCTGCAAATACCTAGTTCGTAAAGAACTCACCTAATAACGGGAAAAAAATACCTTTATGAAGATGCTGTAAGAAAAAAATGAAAGCAAATGACAGATCAACACTCAAGGAAATATTACATGCAACAAAGTAAAATTTTGCCCACTCATATTGTCATAAATTAGAGAACTTCATGAAATAACTGATTCCGTAGGCAAAAACATAAGAGGATTTACAAAAGTTCAGGGAAGCTATGGGAAGGCAACAGAAGGAAATAAAGAATGAGGGGGGAAATGGAAGAGTGAATAAAAATATCACCAAAATGCAGGCAGATCAGAAGGAGCTAAAAGGAAAGATGCATTGGTGAAAATACAAGGGATTTAAGGGCAAAGATTGAAAAAAGTGAGCAGATATTTAAAACAGAGAGAACTGCTTGATATGGAAGACAAAGAGAGTGATCCAACATATCCATAGTCAGTGTTCCTAAAGAAAAAAAATTAAAGAATGGAACAAAAAAAATTTTAAGGCATAAC